GAAATATTTTTTTTCTAAATATGCCCTTATTTATAAATGGGGTAAAGAAAAAAGACAATAAATAAGAAAGAGTATGGAAAAAGGGAGGGAATAAATAATTAGAGACAAAAGTGGACAAAACACATTAAATGCTGAAATAAATTTAAATTGAAGCTTATAAAATGGACCATATTTTTCTCAAATTTAGAGATTATATATAGAAATGGTGGGAATATGTTAGTTATTTGGGGGGAAAATTTTTATAAATTTTTTTCTAAAAAATGCTTTCTTTAATTATTTATTTAAAACTCTGTAGTTAACTGAAAAAGCCCTCCTAATGCATCTTCCTTTGGAAGGAGATTTTTCGGCTAACAATTTACCTAAATATTTGATTGTTGTTAGCACAGAATAATACTGTGCGATTTATATAGCCAACTCCATATTGTAAAATAAAATTTGTGCTCAATTTAATTATTTATATTAAAAATTATCTTTATTAATAAATATTCCTCTTTATATAAGCCACCAATAGAATAATTTAAAAAAAAACAAATTTGAAAAAATAAAATATAATAATATTTTATATTTAAAATAAAAACTAGCCTTTTAACTAACTCCTAAGAGTGGAAGGAATATTTTGAAAATATAGTTACTGAATTAATAATTATCAATTAAATTGAAAAGTAATATGGTAAGAGTTAAAAAGAAATACATTCAAGCATGAGACGTAGCATAATTGGCAATGGGCTCTTTAAGTATCTAATGAGGGGTTTGATTCTTGGTGATGTGTATGGAAAGGGTTTCATGGCCAACACTAAAATCTTTTATGGTACAAGGAGATTAGCCATTGTTATCTGCAATTAATATCCTGAGCTGAATCCAAAAAAAAAAAAAAAAGGTGCATTTACAAAGAAATGCAGTTGTAAAAGAGACCATTAGGATACTGGAAATATCCCCAAGGGACTTTATGGTAGATTCGATCATGGGATCCAAAAGTCTCCCTCACTAGTCATTCAATAACTTCAATCTAAGAAAGATATGAATATAATAAGTAAAAAAATTGTTCCTTCGAATTCTAAATTTTTTTGGTAGACGAAGCAAACACCTTTTTTGTTCACCAATAATTAATCATTTAGCTAGGTACATGAAAGTGAACATTTTCTTTATTTTTAGGATGAAACTTTTGTTTCATTCCACCGACCCCCCTATCAGAAATCAGGAATAAAATTAAAGCATCTTCTAAAGTTCTTCCCAATATACCTAAAGTTTTCCCTTTTCAATTTCATATTCTCAAGAAGCCATGTCTCTTTTTCTCCTAAAACATATTTTCTTAACACATTTATCCATTTTCAAAAAGATCGTGCACCAAAAAGCGAATCCTTTTTTTTTTTTTTTGCCTGAACACCCAAAAGTGAATTCAATTAAGAAAGAATGTGGATTTATATATTTCACTCCCAATTGATATAAAAACTTCATTAAAAAATCGTCGACGATTTATTTTTTTGCCGACAATTGATAAAAATTATGCATCTTCTTAAGCTTTGAAAGTTTATGATAAATCCTCTCAAACTCTTACATTTATCTAAGTATATAACTCTAAATTTGAGAAAGTTATATACATATAAAAATATAGTTTAAGCGGGTATATAATTGATAGTCGGGATTTGTCCATACATGGTTCAAAGTTTAGGTAGGTTTATTATTAAGTTTTGAAAGATTAAGAAAGTTGTTTGTAAATGATTCGAAGTTTACACCAGTTTTGAGTAATTTAACGTAAATAATTTATTAGAATTTTTATAAGTACTCTTTGAATCGTAAAACCTGCTCTGTACTTAAGAAGTTAGAGACCTAATTCATCAAACTTTCATCTAAAAGAAAATCAAGACTCAAAAAAGGCAAAGAAAAGAGCTAAATTAAAGTAGAGAATACCTCTTTTTCTCTCTTCTTTTTCTTCCTTACGAAGACAAATCAATACATTTAGCTTTATTCATCGGACTTTAACTAACATCGGAGAAATTAAAGCAGAGAGCCTAAAAAGCCTACCTGACTTGGATATACACACACACACATCCATAGACACACAAGTGTATCCCATATATATATATATATATATGTATGTATGTATATGGATCCTAATAATATGAAATTATGTTGTTATACTTTGAATCATGCACTCTAATAACTTGTGGCCAAAATCTTCTACTTTTTCACTCGACAAATAATGGATCACCCACTCATATTCAACAGTGAGTTCGACAAAGACAACAATAAAATTTGAGTAAGTGAACGTAACGATGATGATGGAGTTAGATTTGAACCTAGACATAAGATGATATAGTTTTTTTTAAAAAAAAATAGTTATATTTTTTATGATTTAGATATTAGGCAAAATTGGGGAAAATCTCTTATTAAAAATCTTGTCAGTAGAAAGAACTTAGATAAATTTGTATACAAAGAGAACACTTAGCTTGTGGTTTGCAAAATTTGTACGTACAAAATACTAGTGGTCTAATATTTAAATTGTTCTCATTAATGAAAATATTTTATGTGAAGAATTTTTTCTAATTTCTATACCTATTTTGGTGGTGAAGCAATGAACATAGTTGGTGGGAAGTTTTGAAACGTGTCAAAATCTTATTAATTAGCGTAGACGTGACTTGTTCTTTATGGTAATGCAATGTCACGATCCAAGTTTTGCACAATAATTGCTTTATTTTTATATTTGTATACCCCCTCGGGTTGTCCTTATAATAACATAATAACTAAATTTTGGTGATTTAAAAAATAATTAAAAATAATAAATAGGTAAAAAAGTAAAATTTTTTTTCAAGCATGCTTTTATTTATAACAGGCAAGTAAGAGAGAAAAAGCATAGTAAGGTAAAAATGATAGAAATATATTAAATGCTCAGAAAATAATAAGTGGGATCTCCTAAAAAACAACAAAATAATTCAAATTTTAAGCTCTTATAAAAAAAAAAGACCATACTGAAGTTTTTTTTTCCCCTCGCAAAGATACAAATATCTCAGAAAGTCAAACAAACACACCATTTTAAATATGTTTTCTTTTTTCCTTCCATTATGTGCTGCTCATGCAATGCACTAGACATTTCCTCATGATGCTATAGTAAAAGGACAGTGATCGCCATGCATATGAAAATTAAAGAAAAAAGAACCACAATTTTTTTAGTTTGAATTTAATTAATTTCATATTAGTTGTTTGCGAAGTTTAATTAAATTTGGCTTGAGATCTTACAAGGGAGATGATATTATTGTTATTGTCAAATTAGTTACTTTTCTTTTATCTATATTTTCTTCTATTTATCCTAACACCAGATAAAATGTTTTTTTCCCCTAATTTTTCTCTTCCTGCCATCTTCTTTTCTCTTTTCATCTAAATAAAGCTGGTTATTCTTTTTTGAACCCACCTAAACCTAATCAATAAACTATTAGAGGCATTAATAAAATTTAGGTCAAGTAGAATGCACTCTATTTGTCTTTAGGAAAGTCAGGAATTCAAACTTTTAGAATAGAAAAAATAAAATAAAATTATGAGAGTAAACTTTAATTAGGCTCAACAATACTAAATTAAAATTGGAGCCTTCAAACTAGATTTTTTTCCCTCATACATTATGCCTATTTTATATTGATGATACTGATAGTCACTACTTAATATTATTTGAATATAAAACTATAAATTGATGTTAGGCGCCGTTAATTGTTGTCAAATTTAACATTATTTAATTATAAACATATTAAATCACTCCAAAACGTAGTGCGCTTTGAAAGAAACATAAATTATAGATTTGGCTTCCTTCCATTTAAATAATTCACATTTAATATTTTATAAAATTATGAAAATTAGATAAGAATAGAGTTGTATCTAACACCCTAATCTAAAGAGTGTAACTAAAAAAAGATAATATTAGAGTGTTAAACGCACCTTTACCCTTAAATAAAAATAAATGGTGAAAACGTAATCTAAAAGTTTAGAATTTCAATTGAAAAATATTTTGCAAAATATTAAATTTAAACCGTTTAAATTTTATCAATCGTTTGTGATAAAAAGTGGGGAGAGAAGAAGAAATAGATAAAAGTAAAGTATAAATATGTTAACGCAAGATTTTTGACAAACTCTACCTTCCAATAATGCATTTAAAAAACCCAATGTGCCTTGTCCTTTTGTCGTATAATCCCAAAATTAAAGGAAAAGCAAGATCCCATGATGTTTTACACTTTGACAACAACAACTTCCCATAATTTTTTAGACACCCATTAATGATCTTTTGTCACAAAGTATTCAATAATGGATACAATTGGTTAAAAAAATTTTAAAAAAAATTACTCTGCATTGTTTTTTCATTTGTTCTTATCTGAATGTTTAAGTCCCTTATCTGAATTCATGATTGCTCCGTTCTCAAACCTACGTCCAATTATAATATTTTATCCAACACTGTGATTCAGTGTTTTTTTTCCCCCTCAAGAAAAAAATATGGGGTATTTTATTTTAATGTTTTAAAAATTAAAAATACAGGCTAAAGTTACTTTTAATACTTTAAAGTTGTATAACATTTTAATTTGATCCATTAACTTTTATTAATTAAATTATACCATTAAAAATATTAGCAACAAAAATTCATACATCAAATATATAAATGTAAATATATTTATAATTTAGGAAACTAATAATTTTTTTATAAACAACTAACTTAATAATTTTATTAATATCTATAAATTGATTATCTAATTAGTGATCAGTGAGAGTAATTTATCTCTAGATAGAGCATTGCTCACAATTCCATACATTTCATCCATTATGATCAACAATATTATTTTTTTATGTTCATTTTTTTATTACAACAGCCACCCAAACATCACCCTTTTTATGTTAATTTATTTATGTTAATTTACATAAACACAAATATAAAAACTACTTTGAAAAGATTGAAATGATTGTTCTTTCAAAAGAGTGTCAATCAGGCTGCTTTGAAAAAGCAAAAAAAAAAAAAAAAAACCAACCCAAACTAAGAAGTGATATGACTATAATTCTCAACTCATACAAAAGATCCTACACCAAAACAAGAAACTTTAACATCTCTACAAAACACAAAAAACAGAGGCAAAATCTTACATTACAAGAAGCAGAAAACAACAAATTGAATAAACAAAAACACACATAGTTAATAATTACTGAGTGGTTTTCACATAACAGAACAACCATTAGGGTTTTCATCACTGAAGAAAGAAGTGAGCTTTTCATCAGGAGCATGAGGGCTAGGAAGTGCTTGAACTGTGTTCCTGACATACCCAGAAGGAGCCTTCTTGTCATAAGCCTGAGCCACATAAGGATATGCCACTAAGTTATAGGGTATGTATGGCCAAAACTCTGCCCTCTTCCCTGTGCTCTTCACTTTCTTTAACACCTTGTTTGGATCCACATATCCTGTGACTGTTACCTTGCTTTGCTTTCTGTTCACCTCCACTTGCTTCACTCCTGCATTATTTATTCACATAAATATTGGTTTGGCTCAATCACTAGAATAATATAAACAGGAAACCCAAACATGACCTAAATGCCCTTGTCATGTTATACTAACATATTACAACATAACTCACTCAAAAACCTAGTGGGTATCAAATTTTCTGTATTAGTATGTTACTGTAGACCAAGAACAGCTAAGAAGACTTTAAGGAGATTGAAGATATTAATGGCTTCTATTGTGTGCAGCAGTTTTTATGCTAAGATGGTCAGAACTTTTTGTGCTACTTTATACTTGTTCTGATCTCGGTGTCTCTTATTTTTTGTAAGGATCCTTGAAGGAAATTTATGATCCTGGTCAAACACTGCTCCACATAACAGAGATTATGTCAGAATTCAAATTAAGGGCTGTCCTACGTGAGTTTATATCAGGTGTCTCTGATTGGTTTAGTTTCTGATTTTACTGTTTTTGGAAGAGAGTGAGATAGATAGGGAGATATCCTCCTTTGGTCTTATGTAAGACTTACTTGCACTATAAATAGTTTTTATATCAAGAAGAGAAAGTTGTATATACATATATATAGAGAGAGAGAGAGAGGAGGGAGTGAAGTATGAACCTTTCATGCCGGAAACAGAGTTCTTGACTCTTCTTTCACAGCCATCGCAGTCCATTTTCACCTTGATTTCAACTGTCTGGATAAACATAGAGAACAAGAAGAAAAATAAGAACTTGCCAAAAATTCTGACCATTTATTTGCATGCAATTACTTCTTCAGTAGAAATATGTCTATCATTAAGGCTCACACAAAACAGAGTGGAAAGTAAAGTCGGAGCTGATAGATAATTAACCTGCATTGCCTTGCGTTTCTTCTTTGGGGTGGAAACTGAAAAGTAATCTGAGAGAAAATCAAGAGCACCCATCTCCCTTTGTTATTGTTTTAGCAAAGAAAAGGCTCAGAGAGAGTTCAATTTGAAACAACGGAACACAAAAGCAGAGTATTTGCAGAGAGAGAAACAGAGGAAGCTTAGAGAAGAGGGATTTTAAGGGCAGAAAGTGTAGGTTAGGAAAGGAGATGGCTCATTAATTCGTGTATATATAGAGGAGGAAAGTTGTGAGAGGATTGTGGAATAATAATAATAATAATAATATAAGATGGTTTGAATTTGATAATGACTTGTGTTTGTGTCTTTGTAAATCATACTTTCCCCCTGAAGATGAAGAAGGACAGCTGGGCCAGTGAGTTTTAGCTACCTGACAACATTGTCTAAATTATTGAGCGTAGTTGCTAGAATTTATTTTTCATCCCCACTTGCCCTTAATTTATTCAATTCTCATGTTGTTAATTTATGAACAGTCTCATTTATATTAAAGAATTTTTTTAACATATAATGTCCGATTAATTCTGATATTCAAATGTTTGATATGCTTTTTTTTTTTTCAAGACATCAACCTGTGTTTAATTAATATAATATTTATTTTAACAAGTTTTTTTTTGGTTAAAAATATTCTTATTTTATGGAAGTTTTTGACAATTTCTGATTATCATCAACCAAACAGCATTTTAGGGCTATTTGGGAGGGCTTAAGAAATTTCTTATAAACACGTTTCATGTAAGTCGAAATAAAATTCTTTTTACATACTTACCTCGTATTCCATAAGTTATTATTGAAAAGCTATTTATAGGCTATTTATAAACTGTTTCAGACAGGCCCTTAATTGATTTGATTAAGCGGATTTGCTCATGAATTTATTAATAAATGCCTTGAATTCAAGTCGTATATATGAAAGAAATTTTTGTTACGTAAGCTTTTGATCCAATTAACCTCACATGATTTAGTCGAGTCAAGCTCGAATGAGAGTTGCATCATCTGAATGTAATGCCAGCAATTTATTTAAAATTTTTAACTAATAAATTTTAAATAAAGATTATTTTTTTAAAAAATTGAGAATTAAGAGACTATTTTATTTTGAAATTTGTACACATTAAAATATTTTTTTAAAAAGATAAAAGTGAAAAAAGAAATTTATATTGTCAGATGATTCAAATTTTAGTGCTCATCACGGAAACCACTTCCTGTCAAGTCCCAATAAAGTTAGTAGAAATTGGTTAGCAAGCTTTTTTGAGAAAAAAGTTGATCTTATCAAAGTTAATAGATCATATATATCGAAAACTAATTATCTCAAAATTTCGATTGTTACATTAAAATATGAAGAAAGAAACTAATTATGCTTGAGTTATGTAACGTAAAAGTGATTTGATGCTCTCAAATATTAGGTCAAGGGGGATGAAGGATTTGAATCTTACGAAACTACTTTGAGTTAACCATCTCCTATATACTTAAATCTAACTATGTTTTGAATCTACATTGGTTCTAATTAGTACTCCTTTCTATGCAAATGTACGGTAATTAGTCTGTGTTTTTTTTAAATATAATACTCTTCCGGTCCTAATATAAGACCCATTTAATTAATTTGACTGAATTAAGGAAGTTAGGTAAGTTAGTTGATTATAAGAAAAGTGACACATTTTTCCTAAAACACCATAATCATCTTTCTTAATACCCTCTCTCCCTTTTCTACTTGATTATGATTGAGAGAGTATCCATAGGGGTAGTTTAGAGAAAATTAATAAATATGAGAAATGGGTTTTATTTTAGGACCAAATCAACTCAAGAATTGGGTTCTATATTAAGGACCGGAGGAGTACTTCAATTTATTTTGTCTTCCAAATTTATAATTTCCCTCCAAATTATTTTTATTAATTGTACATATTAAAAAAAGGAGTAGTCTCCGATATAAATAATTAAATAAAATATTTTAGGGAAGTTGATAACTAACTGCCTTTATCTTTATAAATTAGCTTGTATGTTTTTTTTTAACTAAACACGTATATTCTTTTATTATAAGTAATCTTGTTTGAGAGATATTATTAAGCACTAAATGTCGGCATTACTTTTCCAGTGGGAATTCAAGCCTTAATTTACCACATCATAACAGAATAACCCTTCAAATTTGTAGTTAATTAGCTAGGTCATATGTTTACGATAAGAGACGTGTGTCACATACTATTGTTTAAAAAACGAAGGAAGATCATGCATCCATGAAACACGTAATTAAAGTAAAATCTACAAGAAAAAACAATTGAAGGAGGCTAGCTGGTTCCTTTAGGCCCAAGAAATGGAGGGGAAGGTGTTATGAGCAAGTTGATAAGTTAGCTTAGCTTTGATTTTTCTGGAGAAAAGGCCAACATCACCATCATGTTCTGCACATCTGTATTACGCTAATTTGACTTCCTAAACCCGCGGTTTCTGTCGGATTTATTTATTTTATTATTATTATTTTTTATTCACATACTAATAATAATAATTATTAATTATTATTTATGGTGTACTGCTCACGAAATGTACTAAAATTCTTAATCAATTACCTACTAACAATTACATTTGGTAGAAATCATTGAGAAATATACATTAATTATCAATATGTCCTAATTATAACTCTATCATTGATCTATTTGATTCCATCTTTTCTTCACTTCATTCATTTTTTTTATTTGTATATATAGTAACTTGACAATCTATTCAGTATCTCGATTATTTATATACCACATCGCTCTTGATAATTATATTTAAACTTGTAATTAAGGTTGAAACTTGAAAGGGGAAAATAAATAAAAAGGAAAAACAAGAAGAAAATTCTATCGTCTTAAAAAAGAAAAGGAGCCGTAGTCAATCATGAAATGAATTATTGCAAGTGGCATTCCTAAAAAATGTGATGGATCACAGAGAAGGGTCAATCTTGATATCTATCAAAATAATGTATATGTGAAATCAATTTCATGAGGGTGACGTTTGGTGGAAAGGCACATAAAACAGGTAAAAAATTTGAAATATGAAATAGCTTAGATTTGATTTTAGGAAAAATTAATCCTCAAGTCCTTATAATTTACTTCAATTATGAGTTTTGGTCTTTGTAATTTATTTTATTTGAATTTGCCTCTTCTTGTTTGTTCTGTTAATTTTTATTTGAGGATTATATGAAATTTCATTTATGGAAATGCAAATTAAAAGGGTTAAAACAGTGCAAAATTAAAATAAGTTATAGGAATCTAATTAAAAACTTAATGTAAACAATAAGGACCCATAGATTAATTTTCCTTGATATTATATAATATAACACAAATAATAAGTAGGGTGAAAATGATCTGGAGCATGTCTGTGTTGCATGAGTTGGAAGCCATGAAAAGGTTTTGAAGGGACAACTATATATGAATGAATATGATGAGAGAAATGGAGAATTCAGAGCTTTCGATTTCGATTTCTCAACTTTACACTTTGATTACGCGTCTTCTTAGCTGTTGGCATCATGATATATATGTCCCATGTTTTGTAATCTAATAAATAATTAGGAGAATTACGATTAGGTTTCAGGAAAGATATTTAATTACCAAAAAAATTAAAAGACAAATGAGTAATCTAAATATGTTGTTATTGCATGCTCCTAATAAGTTGTCAATGGACTTCTAGGTAATTAAATCGTTTCTTTAGAATTTTCATAAATAATTTAATGTAAAGATAAATAATAGTAGTACCATAATATCCTTTCATATATAACACACGTTAATGTTTAAAATTGTGTGTACATATACATATACATATACATATATATATATAGGGACGTCTATTTTTATTTACTTTGTTTTATGCATAAGTATTCTTCTATTAGCAGTAATCTTATTCGAGACACTGTTGGACATTAAATGTGACACATCTCCCAATGGGATTCGAACATTGATTGCCTTTCAAACATGATTTTTTATATATAAATTCACGGTTGACCAATAAAACCCAGGTGCGTTGTAGTTAACACTTCAACCAATGGAGCTCTCAGAAAAGGAACAATCCTTAATCATGGATTAAGCGATGCTAATCGTATAAAGGAAAGATTGAATTTGTCAAAGATTACTGCAAATCTCTTTTATTTTTAGTCATTTTTTTATTTTATTATGTATACATCAATCTAAACATATTTTAAACTTTCAGCCGCTTTCATTCAAATATTTTTATTGAATACAACTCAATATTTGGGCAAAAAAAATGGATCTCATGTGAAACTCGGTATCAATCAAACATTAAAAAAAAAATTACGATCTAAACTAAATCAAATAAGATAAGTCATAATATTACATGCAATAGATAATGTTCAATGGCATAAAACAAAGTAGGAAATTATCGAATACATGCTACAAATTAATACTCCCCCATTCCAAATAAAATAGTTAAATAATTGACTTATAGAAATTAAGAAACATAGTTAAATCAGTTATTTGTAATGCTCTTTAATAATTTGTATTGAAAATTACTCTAATTGATGAAAAATCTCTTTATTATGAGGAATCAATATGATTATTTTGAAAAAAAAATACTTATGACTTTGTGAGACAAAATATATTAGTGTCTTATATTTAGAACAAAAAAACTTATTTTTAGTAATTTAACTTTAGATAAAGTTTTAGTTTGATTTGTTAACTTTAAAAAATATACTTTTAGTTCTCTAACCTTAAATTTGTTAACAAAAAATAATGATATTTATATCATAAATGTTTATAAAATATTCTCAAATAGTAACATATCAAGTTTAGTTTTTAAAACAACCATGATTATCATAAAAAAATCATCATTTAAGACTAGTTATTTTAAAATTAAAGAGCCAAAAATATACTTTTAAAAATTAAGCAACCAAACTAAAATTTGTATAAATTTAAAGAATTAAATGTATATTCTAACCAACTAAAAACAAATACTACCTCTGGTTCTAATTATAAGATCTCGTTTGTTGTTTACAAATAAATTCTTATTATTAGGATAGGAGGTAGCATCTTAATTAGCTAGTTTCTATATGTAAGATCGGATGAAGTATTAATTTGAAGAAAAATATCTAAGATTTTTGGGGAACAAGCATACTGTCAAAGCAGAAAGAAGATGGGTCCAGTATGAAAATATTAATATATGAAATTCAAGTCCACATATGGTTGCTACTTGGTGCTATTCCCTCC